GGGCCGAGGAGCTAGGTGAGGGGGTGGGCTAGGCCGAGTGGAAATGTGGGCTAGGGGGCTATTTGGGCCGAGGGTGTCGGCAGGCTTCTGGGACGGGAGAGGTGATTGTGGTGTGGGTTTGTGTCGTTCTCCGCGGAGTCGAGGAAAGCAAGATCGGTGGGTGAGACTGGATGAGAGTAGGGGTAGGACTGTTCATCAAAAGTGACATGACGAGATATGATAATTTTGTGAGTGAGGAGATCAAGGCACTGGTATCCCCGTTGGTTGGATGGGTAATCGAGAAAGACACATCAGGCCGAACGGGGGGCGAGTTTGTGGGGGGCCGTAGCGGAAAGGTTGGGGTAGCAAAGGCACCCGAAGACACGGAGATGAGTGTATGTGGGTTTATGACCATAAAGAGCTTCATGGGGGGTACGATTTTGAAGGGTGGTGGTGGGTAAGATGTTGAAGAGATGAGAGGCCATATGAAGGGCTTCAACCCAGAAGGTGGGCGGGAGTTGGGTTTGGAATAAGAGAGTGCAGACGGTATTATTTATAGTACGAATGGTTCGTTCTGCCCGTCCATTTTGTTGACTTGTGTGGGGACAGGAGAAACGAAAAAGAATACCCAAAGATTCAAAAATATCACGCAGGGGCATGTTTCTGTATTCGGTGCCATTATCACATTGCACAGACTTAATTATAGTGTTAAACTGGTTTTTCACAAAAGCAATAAAAGTATGAAGATGGGAACATGCTTCAGATTTACTTCTAAGAGGAAACACCAATAAAAAAATGAGAATAATCATCCAAGAGTAACATATAGTGTTTAAAACCAGTAATACTAGTAACAGGCGATTGCCACAAATCAGTATGTAAAAGCTGGAAAGGAAAAGTAGAAATACGACTCGATGACTCAAATGGGAGACGAACATGTTTTCCCAACTGACAAGCATGACAAAGAGAGTGTTGTAAATGTGTAAATGAAGTATTAAAAGAGAGACTGGGGACTCCACGGAGGATGCTCACTCTCTTTCCATATTTTTGTTAGTCATTTGGGGCGAGGGCCAAGAAGGCCCGGGTTAGGGTTTGGGTTGGTGAACTGTCCGGAAAGCTTCCCGTGGGTGTGCCGTGCATTTGACCTGGAGCTTCGACCACGACCACGACCCCGCTGCTGTCCACCGCGTTGCTGGTTGTGCTGAAGCTGTCAGGACCGCCCCCGCCGCTGGAATCAGCCCGTCCTCCACCGGCACTACCGTAGCACCGTGAGCCGCCACTGCTGGGACCTCCACTACCGGCGTATAGGGCCGTGCCACCATCCCCCGCGACACCGCCGGTCCCCAAATCAGCTCGCTGTTGTTCAATGAGGAGAAGGGCCGAACGGGTTTGGAGGAAAGTCGGGGGCGGCATTTGATATTGAAGGAACGATGTTTGGGCCCGAAGGTCGTCCGGGAGACCACAGAGAACTTGGAGAACGAGTTGGTGTTCGGAGACAGAGGCGTCCACATCATTCAACCAATCCGCGAGGTTGCGAAGAGTTTGGCAATAGGCGGCCATAGAGAGAGAACCCTTCGTGGTTGTGCGGAATTGGTGCTCTAGTTGCATCGCTCGGGCCGCTTTGTTGTCGTGGAAGAGATTGTAGATTGATTTCCATAATTCCGAGGCCGAATCGGTGGTGGAGAGCACGAGATCACAAACTTCATCATTCACCGTAGATAGGATCCAACCTTGAATAAGGGCGTCGAGTTGAAACCATTCGGCGTCATCGGCGCTTGACGGGGACGACTTTCCAGTGAGGAAGTCGCCGAGGGAGAACCGGCGGATGAGGTGGAGGAAGAGCTGGCTCCACTTCTTGTAATTGGGCTCGGAGAAGCTGAGAAGGATCGGCACATGGAGCTTGACGTTTGATATAGTCGTGAACGCCAAGTGGGGAGTCGGTGAGGATGATGACGTGCCAGTGACGGAAGTTTTCTCGGACATGGTGGTGCGTTGGAGAGGGCCTGCCGAGAGAGAGAATAGCCGTGAGAGAGAGAGAGAGATCGCCGGGGAGGAGGCGGCGCTGCAGGGGGCTGCCGGCGACGTTAGGTGATGTTCGACCGAGAGGGGAAGGAGGAGGCGGCGCTGCTAGGGTTGGCAGCGGCACTAGGTCGAACGTGGGAGAATAATTATTTTCTACAAATAATAACGGAGGACTAAGCCTCGTATAAATAATACAAGGGAATCCTAACTACGGAAGGAATCCTATACAGGGAAACTACCATATAAACAATGATTACATCATTAATATTAAATATATACATACTATATTTAACATAACATGGAAAGCAAATCCAAAAAAATTAAAGTAAAATAGGCACACTTTTTTTTTTAAAAAGGGAATTTTATTAAAAGAGTCTGGAAGCCCAAACGGTACACGGATAGAAGAAAAGCAAAAACTTCATTTTTGCAGTGATTGCGCTTCTAAATGATGCTTTTCTGCTCCAATTGTGATCCCTGGAAATGACTCTAGTGATATTGTGAATATCACTGTAAATGCTCCTCATGTTATTCTAAAGGTTACTTTGACTACAATCAATCCTATTGTGCCTCCTAATACTCCAGTTTAGACCAACGCCAATGAATATGTGGTGGGAATAGTATGTATATATATGTGTGTGTATCTATATTCGATTAGTGAACCAGTGAAACCACTAGTTCCATGAGTGAAACCAGTGAATGCCTTGGCCAGTTTGATCAAGGTTCAGTTCTGAACATTAGTCTAGTTTTGTTTTTTGCAATCAATTATTTTTATCTTTAACCTATAACTAGATAAAATATATATTGTAAATTATTTAGATAAAATAATATTTTGAAAAATAAATTTAATAAAATTAATTTTGTATTCTTATTTAATATCTTTTTTGATAGAATTTTGGAGGGTATTGATAACTGGATTGGGTAATAAGACACTTGGGTTGAACCACATTAAAAGATTGAATCCAATCGATTAGTTAGTTCAATTCAAGAGCTTATATACCGGTTATTTTGCTCTTGAACTTTCGATGTGGGATAACACTCTAACACTCCCCCTCAAGTTGACAACCGGGCCATTTTGAATCTAACCGGTTGACCACTTGCAAATACATTCCCATTCCCTTGATTTTTTTTGAGCGCCAACACCTTAAAGGACCACGAGCCGCTGGGTATGGACTTCCAGACAAGCAATCGTGTTAAACAGGGCACAGGCCGTTGGGTACATACTCCATACGGACAACTGGGCTAAAGACTAACGGGCCGCTAGGAATGAACGTCTAGACGGACACCTTGACAACCGAGGTGGGCCAAAACCTGCTCCGATACCATGAAAGAATTTAGGATGGGATAGGGACAACTGGATTGGTTAATAAGACACTTGAGTTGAACCACATTAAAAGATTGAATCCAATCGATTAGTTAGTTTAATTCAAGAGCTTATATACCGGTTATTTTGCTCTTGAACTTTCGATGTGGGATAACACTCTAACTAACATTTTTATTTAATTTACGATCAAATTTTATAAATTTTGATTCAAAAAATGTTAAAATAGACAAATAGTATTTGAGTACTAGTTGCTTCCTTAATCCTTACCCGTAATTCCGAATCATTCTATGTTTTGTGATATAATTTGGAGTAAATTCCATATTTGGTCTTTTATAACTGGAGACTTCCCTATTTAGTCATCTATTATCAAATATTACCTCGGTGGTCCTTTTATGGATATCTTTTAACAAAAAGTCATTTTTTGATCTTTTATAATATTGGTGTTAATTTGAAGGCTTAAAGTATAATTTTACAATGATAATATATGTTTCTTGTCATGCACAATTCCAATGGCTGCTCTTGATGCATCATTTGTGAATTACAATCGTTTTCTACTACAACTATAGTTTCTATATGTGGTCTTTTGTCAGAATCCTAGCTCATAATCATAGTCATTATTTTTGTATTATCCATCTAATCAATATCAGACTACGTTACTGGACATAAGGTTGACGTCAAATTAAACTTTTAGCTTTTAAATTAACACCAACATAGTAGAAGATAAAAAAAGGACCATTTCTGGAAAGACAACCATAAAAGGGTTACAAAAGTAATACGTAGTATTTGATAATTAAGGACTAAGAGCCTGTTCTTTAGGGCTTGAATTCTTAACTTCCAGTTTCTTCCAGTTCCTTCCAATTTCTTCCAATTTCTTTCAGTTCTTCCAGTTTCTTCTAGTTTCATCCAATTCCTTCTAGTTTCTTCCAAGTATTCTCGTTTTCTTCAAACTTTTTCTACTCCCCAAACAATTACTCTAAAAATGATATATTTTTAATGTGATTATTATTATTATTATTATTATTATTATAACTGCTATGTTCATAACTATAGTTTATAAATTATTTTTTTTCATCTCACTATTTTTACGATTAATACTCATTATTTTTTTCTTTAACTTTTTAATATGAACAAGACAATTTTTTGTATATTAATCTACAGGATAAAATAGGAAAACATCAATATGTTAAACTATATTAAACAAATTATGGATTAATCTACATCACCTTGTCTTTATTACTTAAAATTTGCTCATTTTTCTAATTTATTTAAAAAATTGTAAGTCAAAATAGTTTAGAGAAAAAGACTAAAATAGGAGTAAAACATAAAAAATGTAAAAGAAGTTATATATCTTTATTCCAAAAATAGGACTTCAATGAAAATAAAATGTCAATCATGAAAGAAAAAAATAGGTTTGATTACATTATGTAACATTTCTGATATTTAAAACAAAATCTTGTAATATATAAAGTATAATTACAAATATATTATTTATAATAAATACTGCATAAATAAATTGAGGTGCAACGTAATCACAAAAACTTTTTAAAATTTAATTTTTTTTATATTTATGCTTACTTTATATAATAATTAATTTTTTTCCAAAAGTAATTTTTTGTATTTGAAATATAACAATACTTTTTTGTATCTTAAAGGCATTCATTAAGATAACGTGATGATGATGATGATGATAATAATAATAATAATAATAATAATAATAATAATAGTAATATAATAATAATAATATTATTAATAATAATTTATAACAACAAAATAATTTTTTTAATTTTTTTTTTTAGGTTTTCCAATTTTTTGAAGTTTTTCCAGTTTTTTCCAGTTTCTTTCAGTTCCTTCCAGTTTTTTTCAGTTCCTTACAATTTTTTTCCAGTTTCTTCCAACATCCTGCTTTTTTCCATTCCTAAAGAACAGACTCTAAGTATGAAAACACCTTGTTATCTTGTTATCGAAGACTAATTATAGAATTAGTCTATAATTTGACACGTACATTTACCCTCTTACTTTCCCTTTTAAAAATTTAACAATTTAACAATGCTTCCCGCCATCTCCCCCATAAGAAGCAGAATAATTGAAATGGCAAGCACACTGAAGAGTTCCGACCCGAACTTATATAAAACCGTTGTGCTTTCAAATTCAATATAATAAAGAAAACACTTAAATTGGAAAAGTCACCATGCCATGATTTGATTAGGATTAATTAATTATTATTGGCGCCCCTTAACAAACATTCCTTCCTTCTTCACCAATAGCCACCACTTCCCACATCCCTTCTCCCCGCGCCCCGCCTATATATACACACACGCGTGTATCTATATCTATAACTATTCACCCTAACATCGCCCGCCGGCCACCGCCCAGACATGGATTTCTCCGACGTTCCATCGTTGTACCCTTTTCCCAGTCCGCAGATGTCGGAAGAGGACTTCAAGGTGTTTCACGGCATTGACCGAAAGCTCTTCTCGCGGCTGGTGATCGGACTGGGGCGTGACCCGGCCGAGTCCATGCAACTCATGGGCTTCTTGTTGTGGCTCGAGGAACACGCCCGGTGGAACGGCGGCGGAGGTGGGGCCTGCAATTTGGTTGACGAGGTGTTGAGTATGTCGTCGGAGATGGTGAACGTCGTCGCGGATGAGGCGGTGTCGTGTTTGAAATGCATAGAGGAGGACCACTTCCCGCTCTTCGCCGCCCCCAACTTGGCCAGAATGAACTGCCTTGTCAGCCCCCTGTACCTCCTCCTCAACCGGACCCACGTCCTCCGTGGGGTGAACAAGTACGTCAACGATGTCTGTTTTAGGGCTTTCGATGACATCTTGCTCCTCCACTTTTCGTCTCAAACAAGCAATGTTGACCGTCATTCTCAGCAGACAAGGTCAACTTGCATGTTTGACCGTAACACAGAAATGGTGGCAAAGAAGGAAGTCGAGAAGAGTAATGGAGTAGTTCATCCAGATGAAAGGACGATCTTCTTGACCTTCTCTAAGGGCTACCCTATTTCTCAAGAAGAAGTCGCTGACTTTTTCTCAAAGTACGTTGTATCTCATCGTCTCTCTTTCTTTTTTCAAAAAAAAATGTACAAATTAGGAATGCAGTAAATGATTCATCACATTGGTCATTAATGTTTTATTGCAGTAAATGAGCATACTATATTAAACTCGTTAATAATAATTCAAATCTAAACAGTTTTGGATAAAAATTTGTCACCTAAAATCTATAATGAATTTTATAAAATGACAAAGTTTTATTGTGGAAATTCATTCTTTTTTTCCAGGAAATTTGGAGATAGCATAGAGTCTATACAAATGCAAGAAGTACCAGTAGGGGAACAAGTACTGTACGCGAAGTTGGTGGCGCGTTCCCTTCCGGCGCTGGAAGCCATCTTGGTCGGCGGCAAAGCCAAGTACAACATCAACGGGAAGCACGTTTGGGCACGTAAATACGTTAAAAAGCAGAGTTCCAATAATAATAAGAACTCATCATCACCGCCGCCACCGTTGCCGTGTCTCTGAACGTCGCTGCCGCTGACGGCCGCCGCTACTTCTTCCTCGTACCTGTGATGGTTCCCCGTTTCATTTCATGCACGATATATTTATTTACGCAGATTTAATCTGTACTATGTGTATACTAGCCACTATTCCCCGGCCTAATTATATGTATACAATTAAGAAATAAATACAGCATAAATATTATTAATGCATTTATTTTTACATTTTTAACAAATCTTATTTAACAGATCTTTGGGATACTATCTTTCGAAATAGAGTAACAACGAAAATATTTCGTTTCACACCATAAACTTCAAATGATTGTAGTGTTTATTTTCTTTTATATGGTGTGAAATGAAATACTGTATATATTTTCGTTGTTACTATTTCTATTTATATATATACATATAGATTATAAAGAATAATAATATCCAAAATTTTAGTTTATAGTAACTCAATATATTTTTTTAGTAATTTGAGCTCAAAACATATAAAAATATTTACCATAAATGTTTAAGTAGAAAGAAAGTTGTGGGACGAATGGAGTATAATTATTTTAAAAGATCAATCATTTTAAAAGAGTGAATAAATATTTCTTATGTAAACATTAGATCTTATATAAGATTATTAGTTTATTAAATATACGCCGTACGTATAATATAACTATTCACAAATTAACTTTTGGTATTATTCATTTTTTTATCAGTATCATATAACTATTCACAACTTAATTATTTTTCATACTTAAATCCTAGCTAGTTTTGCATTTCTAATTATCTGAAACGTAAATCTCATTCCTAAGATTTAATTTGTCCTTCATCAAAATACATTTTCAATATCAAAATTTCATTATATTAAATAAAGATATAAGTTCTATTTAAGGCATTAGAATTGTGTTGGGATGGAGATATAAGAGCAACTCCAATGCATCTTTTATAATCTAAAAAATAAAAGTTTTAAACTTTACTGCAGATAAAGTATAGCTCCAGCGGGTTATTCAAATTTTAGAGTATTAGATATTTTTAACTTTACATACTCTATATGTAGATGATCATTATCCATACGCTATAAATAAAATACTCCATATTAAAAAAAGTTTACTTCTTCAAGCTGTGTTTGAACATAATTCAAAGTTGTGTTTGACATAGAAAATTTAACAGAAAAATATTAATGTTAAATGATTCTTAAATATTATAAAAATTTAAAAATAAATGATATGGTTGGAGAGGTGGTGAAAAAGTAGAATGCTAAATCACTATTGAGAAGCCAAAATAACATTTAGCTTCCCAATTTTTAGCATATCCATTGGAGATGCTCTTATAATGTAAGATTAGAATGTTGAGTAAAAATAGAAGTACTAATTATGTTTAAGTACGATTTTCAAAATTAAAAAATTTGTGAAAAAGATCAAAAATACAGCTCAGAAAACAATAATCGACAATTTCTATGTCAATTTATTACTATAATGATTTTAAAAACAATGAAATTTAACACATTATCTAGAGTGGCTTATCCATTTGGGATGGAAGTGGTATATTCTTTCGGTTAAAAAGAGAACATACGCGTATATCACATCTACTTTCTCCGTCCCACCACTTTTTTTCTTTTTTCATCCATACAAAAAAAAAAATTTATTTCTATTAAAAAGACACTTTTATCCTTAATAATTTTTAACTTATTTATCATGTCACACTTTTTCACTATCAATCTATCCATCACATCTCCTTTTTATTCATCACATCTTATGACTTTTTTGAAAATTCAATACCAAAATACACTCTCCTTCGAGCCTTTAGAAATCAAAAGCCGAGAAATTTTATGGGGCGGAGGGGTATTATATTATGTACTCCGTATGTTTTGTACTCGGAATCATTTTTTCCAAATTAATTTCTTTTGTCTTAAGTATTTGTTCACTTTTGATTTTTTTTGCCAAAATTCGTAAATTTTGATCCCAAATTAAATAAAAATGATATTACATATAAATACAAAAATAATTTCATTAGATGTATTATGAGAAATATTTTAATATAATATATATTTTATTTAATTA